CCCTCCCGGGCCACAGTCCTTCTGCTCCCCAGGCGGGGTGCTGGGTGTGGGGCCGCCGTTATCCCCGCTTTGCCAAGATGCGACTGTGTTACGCCCACCCCGGTCCCGCGGTCCCCGGCAGGAGCTGACCCGGGTCACCTGCATCCCCTCGCCCCGCGGCTTAGGACTCTGCTCCCTCCAGGCCTCCAACGTCCCCGCCGCTGCCTGCATCCCTACAAGCAGAGAGGGGGACCCTGTAGGGTCAGGGCACAGGGCTACATCTTCGGCATGGATAGGGAAGAGAGGGGAGCGGGCATCCTGCCATGGGGAAAGCTGGCTCCTGGCTGGCTGGGGGACATATTCCTGCCCCAGGCAGGCTTGCAGCGGGTGGGGAGGCTCCGGGTACCAGCTAGGGAGGATGACGGGCTTCCCTGCCCAGGGGCAGCTTTATCCCAGCCAGCAGCAGCATTCTGGCAGCAGGAGTGAGGCCATGACACCCAGCAGCACCCAACCACCCCAGAACGCTGGCAGTGTGTCATCCCAAGTCATGTCTGCCTGTCGCATACCACAGCAAGGCAGTGGCAGAGAACAACTCAGCTCCACCCCATGCTACCTGAATTTCTCCAGGCTAGGCACAAAGATCTGCGTTTAAGGATCAGGAAACAACCAGGCTGGCAGAGCTCAAAGGTCCCCAGACTTCTCCAGCGCCTGCCTGCTCTCCTGGCAGGTTAGAGTCCAGCTCCATCCCTGCCTGCAAAGGCACAGTGCAAAGAGAGGTCCAACAGCTGTCACCCCTGCAGCGTTATCTATTGAACAGGCGTGACTGTGCCTCACCGCAACAATGGGCACCAGCCTCGCCAGGAGCAAAGTGCCCTGAACCACGGTGCGAGAGAAATGCAAACTTCTGCCTTGCTCCTAACTGAGGCCACTGCAGCCACGAGGGTCCTGTGCCCTCCCTCCGCAGCCACATCACCCTATAAAACTGGTTGTAGAGCTGCTGCAAAGGGTTGAGCCAGTTAATGCTCTGAGCCACCTCCATGACACCACTTTGTGTGCAAAGGGTATCACGGGGCCAATTTCTGCTTCACCTCCAGTCGCCTCTCATGACACCAGTCTCCATTGCTGTTTAACCCAACAGGACACAGGAACCCCAGCCAGACCAGACAAATCATTGTGAAGGCCAGGAGTAGTGAGTTCATTCACTTTATTTTAGATCCTACATGAGGTAGGGACAGACAGATCCTGTCAAACTATTTATAGCTTGCCATACTTCAGGGTATTAGTGGAATAACAAGAACAGCTAGACTACACGTGCGTTATTAATCACCTGAAGCTATTCTATGACAATTCAGCAAGCCAAAGTCAGGAGAGAGCGAGTGGTTATAAGGAGCCACCACGGCATCAGTCCCTTCCCCAGCTCATCCCTACCCACCCTGTAAAGCTGCAGCTCTGGCACATGCAGATGCCTCCTCTTCTCAGCAGCACAGGGGCACCAGCACCTTCCTCAGGACGGCACTGGCTTGAAAATTGATCTTGACCGACTTGAGACTGGGTGACGGGGTGGGGACACACAGCCTCAGGTTCCTGGTGCTCAGGAGGGCTCCCTCGCCCCGGGTCACTTGACTTGTGTCTTGTCAAACATGGTAGGAGACAGCTCCTACCCACAGCTTTAGAGATCAGAGGAGAAGGAACGTGACCCAGCACTGAAATAACACGTACTTTGGGCCCCTGAGATTGGCCAGGGCTGAGCTGACCTCTTCCACAATTCACTGGGCTGTCACAACAGAAATTCAGTTTGCAATTGGCTTTAGAACACCACAGACGAGACAGAGGACCACGCAGAGGAGATCCAGGGGGGTTACCAGCACCCCCTTCCCAGCTCACCTTTGCACAGCAAATTCAACAGCATGATCTGTGGGTTATCTTGGCATCCTTGCTCAGCAGCCACGTTTGTCCAGACCCTCTGACCATGCACTAAATGATCTCAGCTGAGATTTCGCTGCAGTGATGTCTTTCATAGGTCTCTACACCCCAGTATAACACTACAGCAGCGGCTGCTGCCATTCTCCAACATGTATATGGCATAACACAAAATGGACAGTAAAACAATGGTATATATGGTAAAACACTGTTTTTCTCAGTATGCATGTAGAGCTTAAACCCAGACCATCCTGGATGAGCTCCCAACTGCAGCCTTCCTGCTACGGCCAGGGTCCTGTTACTACAAGTGTTTTTTAAATAGAAATCCCCGTCACCAGCTAGACCCTTTCCCCAGAGCTCCAGTACTCACACCAGAGCTCCAGCAAGCACTTGGGCAGCACTCTTTTCTCAGTGGCAGGAAATAAACCCAAGGGTGTGAGAGGTCAGGGGCTAAAAGACCTTGCTGGGAGGAAGAGTAGAGAAATGTGGGAAAAGCTAGAGTCGATAACTCCACAGTCATCAAGTGCTTCAGGTTAGGGAGGACCTAGACCTGAAGACAGCAGGGTGAGTCTGGAAGTTAGATCAGATTGCCCAGGGCTGTAAGGCAAGTCTTGAGCATCTCCAAGGATGCCATTCTGGGAAAGGATCCCACCGCTTCAGCCAGGCTCTGCCCTCAGCATTGCCCTGCATGGCAGCTCTCCCCTCATCACGGAGAGGACTGTGTACATGGATGACGAGAGGGAACAGAGCTGTCCAAGCATCTCATCCCACAGTGAGAAACCTGGGCTGCTCCATAATTACCTCAGTTACCCTCTGTCAGCTGCAGTTGCTTCCACCAAGGCCAGGGGAGCCAGTGGTCACCTGTTGGAGATGTCTCAGCCAGAGGTGCCCGTTCCTCCGCAGGTGGTCACCCAAACAGCCCCAGCTGGCTCTTAGCCTGCCCATTCCCACAGGTGACATCAGCTCACCCTCCACCAAAGACTAGGGCCATTTTATCCATCCCGCCCTGAGCCACTCATCAACTAACTGTCCCCTGCCCAGCAATAAAGTACCAGAGAGGAGTCAATTTTTCTTGCTACTTCTAGTTCTGCTCAGTAAATGATGTGACCTCCTGCTGATCTGCCTTAGAGACAAGTGGGCAAGGTTGGAAAAAGCAGGATCGATTCCACCCAAACGTCAGTGGCCAGAAAGGATCTAGGATGGCTCATTTCAAATCCCACCCTGATGCTGAAGACTCCTTCACCAACAGTCCTGACTGAGGCCAAGCCAGCAGATCGAAGTCCTTTCACCAGTTTGCTCATGCCCATTTAAAACAGACACCCTAGGAAGCGACTCAGCCACCAGCACGGAAAGGTATCACACTGGCTCTCCTCCTGTCCACGCGGGTCCTTGAAATCAGCCACAAAGCCACAGAGCTCAGTTCTGAGATAACTCTAGGATTTACAAAAAACCTCCTCCAGCAGACAGGACTTCACACCCACCCAGCTGAGCACAGAGGGCTCTGCTGCAGGCAAGGGCTGCCAGAAACGGCTTCCCTGCTCACCCTATACTCCTTCCACTCACCACGATGGGAGATGGCAGGACATGCTCTCTGCTGGTCCTACATCCCTTTTAGTACACCCCCCTCAGCAGGTCTGGGAATACAGCAGTTTCAAAGGAAATTGGTGAAGGGAAGGACTTAGTTTACAACTGGAAGCGATTTCCAGATGACAGGCTCCTTCAACAGAGGAGAAAAAAGTCATGAAGCGTTATGACAGGATAAATCTTAACTCACAGCATTAGCCCCACTCCAGTGAAGCCCCAGTAACTCAGTGGCTCTTAGTAGCGGTGGTCCGACAGACCACACAGGCTGAAGATGGAGCTGGGGGTATAAAAGTGGACCGACATCTGGTAGCTCAGTGCTAGACAATGACTAGCCCTGCCCAGGGCTGGGAAGATCAAGGAGCATTTCCAATGGTCTTGAAGTTGTAAAGCTTTCATTGCCCACTCCCCGCTCACACACTGCGTGTCCATCTGCTCAAGGAGCTCCAACCCTTAGTACCCACAGCCTATCCACTCCCCTGGGGCAAAGGCTTTCCCTGTCCACCTGAAACCTCCACGTACCCCCCCATGGCAGAGGGGAGCAGAACCTGGTGCTGCTGTGCCTGCTACTGCTCTAACCCCTGCTGTCTGGGAGAAGAGGCCCTGCACATCT